TGAACAGTAAAAAATACTTTTGTTCCTATTTTTCAGTCTTGCTCATATTGCCAACAATCAGCAGAGCATCTTTTGTGGTTAGCAAAAATCAAAACGCATGACCAAAGCTCCCAGAGTCTGTTTATCATGTGTTCCCACAGTTTGAGGCATACAAGCATCTTAACGCAAAGAGGACAGGGTAAGAACCAGCAGAGTGGAAACAAAGCAGGCACTTTCTTCTCTGACATTAAGAACACAAAAAACCAAACACCTTTCACACCGTAGTTGTTGCAAGGAGATGTATAAAGAATAATTCTAATGATGTTCCAGTTCCTGGGTTACTTTATTGCTCTGCTTAATTTAATGTCGTGACTGTATTTTCATCAATACTGTAGCAGCCTACCTGTTGTACTTGCCTCAGACTGTGTTTATTATTTTTTTTTTATCTGTATCTATTGCATGTTACTGTTACAAAACAAAAGATAAAGCTTCTGGAAGATAAGATGAACTGCTGCAGTAGTTTCAGATACAACAGATATTGTTTCAGCTACAGTGGTCATGTTTGTTCATGTCACAGCAGGTTATTTTAAAACTCACTTTTGCACTTCATCCCTTGGCACATGACATCCTTACTCCACACTCTTTCCTGCTGTAAGAAACAAGTCGAACTGATGACTTCTTATCTTGGGTGCTGACTGATTGAGCCCACAATATTTATTTCTTAAGGTCACCCTCTGGCTTCTGTATCTCTTTTACCTGGGAGTTAGAGCAGTGATTTTACTCTGCAGTTGGAACACACACGTACAAGGTCTGTCTCCCCAAGCCAGCCTCACAGCGAAGGAACCCTACCATCTTTAGTAGCTCCCACAGACACATGGCTTCACCATCAATATTTCCATCACACAAAATGACAACAAAATAACAATGCTAACATTCAGCTCTGAAGATCAAGAAAACAGATACCAATCTGCAGTCACTCATACTATCTAGACCAAATCAGACTGTTTTACCATTCATTAAAAGCTTCTTTCAGCCTTTCTCATTTGTTGCAAACTCGCTGCACTACCAACAGCCAGGCTGCTTTCAATTGACAAAACAGTACAAATAGATTTTCAGTTCATTTATAAGAATATCATGATAATGTTTACTTACCCACATGTTGGAAATATACGTGACACTGCCTGCGTCACAACTGGTGAGATGCCCTGGGAGCCCTATGGAAATGTGCACCCATGCAGCTGAGGAGCACAGGCCAGGAGGAAGGGAACTTTGTAGCCTTTTCCAAGGGAAAAAACAGTCTCTGTGCTGCACGCTACCAAAAGAGATCCCCCAGAAAGCTGAGCAATGCAAATGCAGAAATGCTGGCAAAAACGACTGGTCTCATTTGAGGTACTAAGCAATATAGATCGTCTCCATATTCTTAGAAATTGCAAAAAGCTTGGCCATCCTGACAACAATTCTTAAATTTACATTTTTTAGGACATAATGTCCCTTGAACACATAACTTTTTAATTTAACAGCAGTTGCACATGCATATGTAAGAAGTGTATATTTGTTGTTATACCTGCAACGTTTTAAAACATACATGCCACGGTAATACGTTTGCATCTATCTCTGCTATCCATATGAAGAAACAGACACTGCAAACCAAGACCCGCAAGGATACTAAAGTACTAGGCATTCATGTCTGGGAATGCACAGAGCATACAGAACATAAACTAGATAACATCCAAAAGAGGTCATGGGAAGGTGAGAAGGTGATGGAGAATAACAAAGCAGCCAGTGTGGCAAATAAACTGAACACATAACTCCTGCACACACAGCCTGTTAGAACTTGTAAGGATGACCAAAGACTCTGGCAAGAGGTGGGTTTCAGGAGATATTAAAACAGTGCACGCTGACCTCTGCAACTGATTGCCACCAGAGCTTGAGGGAGAAGGCATACCGCAGGCACAAAAGGACACACAAGCTCATGGTCAGCAGATGTCTAACAGGACAATAAAAGGATTGGGCAGGTACGTATCCTCCAGCAACTCTGGGTTCTTCTGTTTATGGCAAATAAAAAATGGCTTTGCTCATCTACTTTCCTTAGAGAACGCCAGCTAAGCCAGATGGATCATTTATCTGTACACAACAGGGCAGCACCACAGATGGTTGTTCATATCTTCAGGAGCTTCTAACTTGATTGGGGAAGGAGCCTAGCCTTCCCTGGGAAGCCAGGCCTATGTAGCTTTCGCTCTTGTAAAACAGATTATGAAAAAGCAACTAAAACAATTCTCAACCCAGGGCAGGGATTGAAACTAACTTTTCATATACTCTTCACTTCACCTAATTACATGATGATTTCAAAACAAAGTGCAGTGGTATCTTCCCTTACTTCATTACCAACTTGTAAGAAGAAGGTGAAACTCAGAAACTCTGCTTCAAGAGTGAAAATGTTACGCTACTCAAGAATAATGCTATTTTCCTCAAAGAATAGAGCAACTTCTAAGGCAAAATTTCCAGTTGATGATGATGGAAATGCAAATCCTAAAGCAACTGAACTCACAAATCCAAGCAGAACACTAGAAAGCATGCTCTGGGATCCCATACAATCAATGCTAACCTCTGCATCACCCATATCTTATTTATCGTAACTGGAAAATACTTATCCCTGTTACTGAGATTATTTTATACAGTACAGAAGCAAACTCATGGGAAAGGCTCAGCACAAATGACGCTAATAGGATCAGTATATTGTCACCAGATGTCTCCATATACAGAAATACGTAATTTTCTACACGTGGAATAATGATTTTATATTTGTTTACACTTTCTAAGTAGTTCCTAAAAAAAAAAAAATAATAATAATCGAAGCCTTTAAGAAGCTCAAGCATTTCACTTTCATGTATGAATCTCGGTCTTGCTTTTTCCTAGCCCACAGAATAACACCTTAGACTTCTGTTACATCTTAGATTTCTGTCATAATATTTCCATTCTAGAGACATACAACTTCATTAATTAATTCTATACAATTAGGATCTGTTCCAATATTAAATAAGACAATCAAAAAGCTACTCATATGAGAAGACAACTCAGAGCCAAGGCTTCAGGGGTTGGCTCTATTTCAAGTCTTAAAAAAGATGTCTTAAGGAAAAAAAAAAAGAAGCTCAAAGATGAAGATAAAATGCTTTGCCTCCTGCAGAGCACTTTCCTTCTTACGAAGAAGCTCCTATAAATGTCTCTTAACCTCTTTATACATATGCTTATATGATTTGATATGTATGTTTGATGTACATATGATTTGGTAAGTATGTTTGATTCATAGTCCTCACAATTGCTGCTTGCAGACTTAGCAAAATTGGAATATATGCAGAATCTTCAATGAAAAACATTTTCTTGTCAACTAAGTGTATGAAAACACTTGCATTAATTTCCACCAGTACTTTTAGTTTCATATAAACCCAAATGAAACACCAAACTTGTAGAACACACAAAATGACCCAGGCTGAAAGGGAGCACTGGAGTCACCCTGTCCAACTGGGTGCTCACAGCAGAGCCCACTATGCAGTGGCATGAGGATGCTCAAGGTCCCCTTCAGCTAAATATTAAAAATCCCCAGCAATGGAAGCTCCCTAGTATCTATAGTGAATCTGTTCCAATGGCTGATGACCACTCTCGTTTTCAAAAAGTACTTACAATAAGTAATGAGAATTTTGTGTCCACTGTCTCTTACATTTTCTCTCTGCACCTCCACATAGTCCAATCCTGTTTTCTCTGTAAGCAGCCATCATGGAGTTTGAAGTGGAAGGGAGATCTCCCCTTGCTTTCCTCTGAGAAACTGAGTGCACTCAGCACTTCCCTGCATGCCATGAGCTCCAGCCCCCAACAATCTTGGTGAGCCTTCACTGACTGCACTGAGTTCAGATTGTAAAACTCTCTCCTTACCTAGGGAGCCCAGATTTGGAGGCAGGCCTCTAGATATGCCACACAAGTCCAAAAGCAGTAGGAAAACATGTTCCACCTGCTACCTGTCCTCTTGCTAAGCAGCCTGCTATGTCATTAATACTCATCACAGCAGTGGTACAATGATGAGCGATACCTCACTTGTCAAAACAATTCCTGTGTCATCACTTAAAATCATTAGGTGATAATATTTTTATTTTTTAAATAAAAAAAGAATAATATTCAAAACAGGCGAAAGACACAAAGGTTGGGGTTTTTTTTTTTTTTTTTTTTTGACTTCCATATGAATTCCCAGCTTATTATTTGCTTTCAATCATATGCAACTGTTTATGCAAGCTGTTTTTTTACACAGCTGATAAACCAGATCACTAGCCCTGCTAAGGACAGACCTCAGCTCCCTAGAGGAAATAACTCATGCTCTCTAAAGATCACCAATTGAAAGGTGAAGCACTGACCTATTCAACCTATCAGTCCCTCAGGCTATGAACGTGCTACACTGCAACTGCAGAGTCAGTAGAAAACCACCTTTTCTTTTCAGAAAGCATTTATTCAAAATCAAAATCAAGCCTGTTTGAGCTTTCTAGTAAACTGAAATTAAATTATTTGCTGTCTTTCTTAAAAATATCCGTGCATCTCCTCTGCTAAATTCCAATGGAATGTTTAACATTGAACCTAGTTATGCTTGAACACTGTTGTCAACACTAATCTGAAAAAAAAAAATCTCTGTTTAAAAATTTACTCTCCTTTACACAAACACATGCATTAAATTTTTTCCAAAATCTCATGAAAAATGTCATGACACAGCCATATCATTTTTACAGTCTGTTTCATTAAACACCAGTAAAACACAAAAACATCATCATGTAGCTTACAGTCCTCTAGCAGTAAGAGTAAAATAAAATCTTGACATAATTTCCAACGTAATCAGTAAATATAAAAGGACCTGCTATTAACGCCTAATCCAAGATCCACTGATGGAGCTCATGGGAGACTTTCCACTAAATTCCATATGTTTTGGGATGATGATTAACCAAGATAAATGTTAAACAGTGAAAGAAAGAGAAGTCAAAACTTACCCATGAATTCAATTCCTAAATGGTCTGCTGTACCCAAGAAAGCATGTAAAAGAAAATAAAAAAGAGAAGAAAGGGAAATGTTAGACTGAAAAGTAAATACCCTCTCTGTCACCATTTGTACCATTTGATATTTTTTGGCAGTGTTGCAGAACTCAGTATCAGTTCAGGGACCCAGTCTATGAGTATTAGTCAAAAAGGAGCAATCCTAAAACAGAACTCTAGTGTGTGGACCTGCTACATAAGGTAAATATGTCTGGGGAAGGATGCAAACTTTTACTCTCACTTTTACTGTACTTACTGAACTGTCTCAAATCAGCTAATTACAGAAATGCATTCTCTCTTGCTCTTGAAAATTCTCTCTTAATATCTGAGTAAAGATGGTAGCGTCAAGTTCTTGCTTTCAGTTTCTCATAAGAAGATCAAAAACTAAACAAAGAAATGAAAGGCTTTCACTAAGTTTTGCAGCTCTCATTACAGCACAGCGGCCACACTTTCATCCGATGTGATAGCACTGCTGCAACCTGTTGCATAACAGAGATCTGACTTTAGGAGGTAGCAGATATGTCACTTATTTGGCCATATGACTGGTACTCAGCAATAATTTCAAGAAACTAAAAACAAGCAAATCTTCAGTTTATTTTGGTCATGGACTGAATTTACCATATGGAGCTCAAAACACCTCAGGACCTCTTTTCAAGTGATTAATTACAGTATGATTCTGTTGCCTAAAAACATTACAGGGCAAAGTAGATTTAAATTTATTAAGGTGGTAGGGAGTGTGTTTAAATTGCTATTTGGTTAAAGAATAACACAAGTCATTTTGCAGGGACAGGGAAAAACTTAAAACCAGCTCTTCAGTGGATCCCAGTCCAAACTGGTACTGCAGAAAACCAGACACTCTGAAAGGGTGCTGAACACAATTCTATTCTGTGCTAAACTTGAAACATATTACTTTCCCAGGGGAGGTCATCATTTCGATTATAAAAAGCAAATAAGGCTTTCTTTTTCCTGAGGGAAATGTGATGTCTTCATTAATAATATATTAAAAGCAAAATTATTAATTATTTTTAGTCTTCCTTTCAATTTACAGTCACATTTTCTTAAGACAGAGAAGGTTAATATATTATTTTTCCTAGGCAAGGTGGAGCCAGGCTATAATCTCTTAGGAAGTGCAAAGAGCTGCACAAAACACTTCCACTTTAACCCATCCAACAGTTACTTTCAAAAAATCACTTAAGAACTATACAGTAAAGCCACAAGAAGATTCTCCAATGTAAACACAACAGTAAATCCAAACACTACAATTTGAGTTATCAGATTTGGCACCTAAGATGAGAATCTCAGATACTGCAGTTTCTTCTGAAAGCACTGGGAGTCATTTGCCTTTTGTAACCTCACAATCCTTCCAGGAAAAGGCACTGGACATTAGCTTGACTGATTCACTCGACATACAAATTTATAACACAATTCCTAAGCTATACATGTACCTACATGGAAAAAAACCCAAAATGCATCTCAAAAGAAAAGAATGTAAGGTAACGCTACCAGGTATCGACATCTTGCCGGCTTGGAGTCAGAACAGATGCCTTTCCCAAGTCTAGCAACACCCAAATGAGTCATCTTTTACTGGCATTGAAGACATGCAAATAGGTATTATGTAAAAATAATATTAACATAAAATTAAAGCCATACATATATGCATTGTGTGTAACTTTGTAAGTAAAGTTAAAACCATACATACATTCCACGTTACAGTGTTCTCATCCATATTCTTACATTCACATACTAACATCGCATACTAATATCCCTACTACAACTGATGCAGAAATGCAACTTCTTGAAGAACGTAACATCAGAAATAAGACAAGTGCATTCAAAGTGCTATAGCTGCAGAGATCTGTACCTTGTTTTTCTTCCTCTCATTTCCTCTACCTATAAAATCCACAAATATTATCTACCTACAAGAATTCACATTCTTGCATCTTTTGGTAAGATAACAGCTTACATTTAAAAAAGGATAATGGAGATCAAAACACCATAATCCAGTCTTCAGGAAGCTAAGTAATCTCAAAAAGTGTATATAAAATACACCTACCTTTTAAAAATTACAGGAAGGATTTTACTTTTGGAGTGGTTTATGTGTAGGGAGAAACAAGCCTAATCCATAGGCTTCTTTAAAGCAACGGGAGAGAGGGGGACATTTGTCAGGTTATTTATTTTAATTATCTCATTGCCTGGAAAGCAACTTGAACAACCAACGTAACATATATTGCAGATAAAGTTGATATACAGAGATGATGATGAAAGGATGTCTAATAGGATAAGTCCTAACAGCAAAATATCTAAGCTGTCCACTTAATAAGCACAGCTCTGCAAGTCCTGTAAGCAGAATCCTGGAAACAGAAAACAAATGACTAATTCCTGTACAATCAGTGCTCAGAGCTGTTGTGTGCTCGTGGTCACTTGCAAGTTCTGGGGAGAGCCTTGACACGCAGGGTGCCTCTGCACCCAAATCCATGATGAGAAGGTCACCCATGGTGTGCACTCGGGGCTGGTGCATGTCACACTGACTGCAAGTGTTCAAGCACCACTGGTAACAGTAGTGCCCCACATTTCCAACACAATACAAGCAGTACCCAAATGCATCTGTATACTTACACAGTTTTTGTTTTGGCTTGTTTGTTGTTTTCTTTTTCTCTTTCTTTTTTTTTTTTTTGTTAACAGTCTGTTGTTATTATGCTATAATTCAAGGGCCATTTTTGGAAACAGACTTCTCCCCTGCTGTTGGGGGTAAGACCCTCTCAGTAGACAGGTGTAAGAGATGGGCAGGGCCCACACAGCCAGGCACTGGGCGAAGAAAGCAGGCTGTAGTGTTGACCTAAGGCAAAGCCGAGCACCAAAATGCAGAATCCCACTCCGCCAACGGTGCACCATGGAGTAGAAGACTGCTGCACTCCTATCCAGCCACAACATACGTGTGATTAACTGCATCCAAACATTTCCTTAGAGTCAGAAATGAGAGTGTCAAGCCATTCACCATCAGGCGATGCAGTTTCTTCAAGGCCTCAGTACAACAAAAACGTGTATGACTGATATTAACGTATTAATGTACTGGAATGTGGGCTCTGCTCCCTAGATGGGTCCTAGATTTCTTTCCTTTCTTGTATTGTTATGCTCTGAGGAAGTAATAGACAGGAAGACTATTACCTTTTATACTTTTATACTTATGAATATATCTGAATTTGGTTGTTGATGTGGGAAAACTACTGAGCCTTACGTTCCTTGTACTTAGTGAATTTCTTGCTAATGCTAAAGCCATTCCAATTTATACTTTATGAATACATCTACACGTGGGAATCCTTGATAACAAGCACAGGGGAAGATAAACTTGTACCTGCTAACAGATCAATTTATTAAAGCTTCACATGTAATGTGCAGCTTTGGCTCTGGATTATGGTTAGTCGGGGCTTTTTTCTCAGCCATTTTAATGTGGAGCTATTTCTCCTGGTCCAAGAATGGTTTTACTATTTCATGTGCATTCTAACTTACATTATGAAAAGAAATATAAGCCCAAAACCTAGAAGTCTCTGATCTGTAGGAGAAAAATATTCAATATTAAAACATTCACTGTAGACTATTATAGACATTTAAATCTGCTCTAAAAATAGGCTGACTTCAATACGAATCAGTGTGAAGTACTTTCCCCTGCAAATGAAGTTTATTGTTTCCAATAAACTCATAAGGTTTGCCCAATTTTCCTTGGTAGTGTATTGTTTTGAACAAAAAATGCAACACAAGAATATGCTGCAAACTACGTTGGACTGCTCACATTTTTAATTCAGATTATTTGGTTATAGGGAAGAAGACAGAGTTGAAGATCAATCAAATTGTCTGAAGAGCAAATGCTAATTTCCCCAGCAATAGCTGGGCAGTTCACTACATGTTCACTGATTTAATAGTAAATTTACAGAATATATCAGCCAGTTGTTCCAACTACATCAAGACATAATAGTGAAAATTCCACATATACGCACCCCTTAAAAAAAAGTAAACAATTTATATAAAACTTCACAGACTGGTACGTTCTCAGTGTGAACAAGGATAAAATACGGATATTCTGAATTTGTACAGATAGGGTTAACTGTATTTTAAACCAAATTAAAATCCTCAGTCCACAAAACTGAACGCTGAAGACAGTTAATTGCTTTCTCTTCTTTTCTTTTTTTTTTTTTCCAAAGGAAAAAAGAGCAAGAAAGGAATAAAAAATCAATTTCTTTTGAATATCTGTACGACTCTGCAGAGGTTAGTGCAGCCTCCAGATAGAAACTCCCACCCACTATCAATTCCATAACAAGGGAGCATTTGAAAAACATCCAGCAAAACCTGTTCTTATGTAAATAATACACAGGGCTGAATAATTGAATAAACTATTGATTTACTCTCCCTGTGAATGACAGGCAAATGCTCCTGGCTGTTCTACATCATGAAGGTTAAAAGGCTTTTTCTGACTTCTGAAAAAAAATACCAGCAATGGTTCCACCTTCACAGGTTGAAGACAAATTAGAAGCTTGAACTGCTTACCTCACCTGCAGCATGCAGGCTCACAGAGGATTATACTACCTGTTCACTGTCATTTTAAAGACATCAAATTATCATCTTTACAGCTAACAGAAAAAGTTACTTCTCTTTAATGCACAACACTGGACTTTAAGGAACAAATTTAGTCTCATTGAATCATGTAGACAACTTGCACTGACATCTATGGTTTGTACATCAGTACAGCTTTTAATCTTAGAATTCTTTTCACTATAGCTACAAATGCACCAAATAAATACATCCTTATATTTATGAAATGAATCAACTTACAAAACGTCTGAAGCATGCAGGCCAAAACGTTTAGTGTTAGGTATTCGTTAAATACAGCAATCCTTCATTTGCCTCTCAATAAGCCATTACATTCACCAATGAAAAGACAGTGAGTAAATGTTAAATACTGCTACTCTGTACATACTGTATTGACTGGTTTA